GCCTCTTGATATCACTAACTCTCCTGACTCCTGACTCCTGACAACGTAGCGACAACATTCTGATACAACATGGACTTAGGAGTTTTACAGAATTGTAAAGTTCTCCTCCTTGCCACGAGATGGAGGCCTTGACCTACCCCTGACTGTACGTTACACGTCAGAGGGTGGACTACCTCCTACTGGTTCCGTGGAGTAGTCTGGGATATCAGTCCTTATCACTTCATTTAATTGGGGTATGAGGGAATGAAGTTCACGGACATTCTCTACACATTCTAGATCTCCTATGCGGATAAAATCACCCGCGTTCCTAGGGGGTTCTTAATAGGAATATGAGCTTGTTTATGGCATGGAATCTATGAATATGTCTTGAATATGTGGATAACAAATGATGAAGTTTCCGTGTGTATTGATTCCTATAATGAGACTAGGCGAGACATATGGCAAGGTACTAAACAATCCTGCGAGGGACGATTCAAGGGAAAGAGGGAAGGGAAATTTTGTGTACTGTTCGAAAAGTGAGAGTCTTATCTCCATCTAGTAACCCGGCGAAGAACTTCAAGGTGTTCGTTTTAATGCGAGAGATGATGAGAGAGCATTTGGTGAGTAATAAAAGAGTAAATTCGAAAAGCTCTCGGTGTGCTCACTTTTCACTCCCCAAAAGCTTGGAAATTTCTAAGAGTGTAGAAATCCCTAACTACACGGAACGCTCATGGAACGAGGGCAATTTCGTTAATGAAAGTTTAATTCCATATGCATTGAACGACCCGGTGTTACTTGAAATGCCATGACTTTCAAATGTCTAAATGTGACAAAGGCGTCGAGGATAACTTTTCAAAGACATAGCGTTTGGATAATATCCACTTTGTTACGTTAGAAGTAGCTTTGATTTAAAAGGTAGAAAGTTGGAAGTTTTCTAACCTTTAGTTTTGGTTACTCAATGGTTACGTGTTTAAGAGAGTTCGTTTACGAATTTTCAAGAGTATGTTCACAACTTCGAGCGCGATTTCATTGTAGGCGTGCCAAAAGTTTGCGCCATAGAGATTCATTACAATGGTTTGGTTGCACCAAATAAAGGCTGGCTTATCCTAAGCAATTGAAGACGAGGACACGTGAAGAGAGCTCCGTCTTCCTCGATCCTTATCGGCCGGCGTCCCAGAATTTCTTCGCGCTTGTGGGATTTCCCGCTTCCACTGCCTTCCACCCCCAGAAAAAAAAGAGACGACTAATTCTTTCTATGTACGGACCTGCTCGCGTGGAAGATTTCGATACGGATGCTCTCGCATCGGAAAGATAGCCACCAAAGAACATTTCACTTTCTAGCATCATTTTCGGAGGATCATCATGCCTATTCGGCCTTACGGTAGACTCGAAGGCAAATCTTGCCGATCTGTTGCCTTTCTGAAAGAATTTTCGAAGACCAGATTAGGAAATTCTTTTTAAACCAGCATGGTATGCAAACAGAGGAATTGGTGACTGTAGTGGAATTGGGCAGAAGTAAGAAATTAAGGACGGATGATGGTGAATAAGTGAGGTGCACCGATGAGTTGTGCGTTAAAAGAGGAAAGCCGTGAGCCCCTGCCGAGCGAAAGTACCGAAGGCAGAAACGAAGAAATTGAACAAGAGGAAAATGTGACCCGGAACTTTCCGAGATTTTAATTTTTCCATCGATGCCGGTTTCTCTCTGATCCGATCGGCGGGGAAGGAGTTCCTCGCCCGAGAGAATGGCCATAAAATGTCCACATTTGATCTCCGATGTATCAATGGGGAAATATTCCATAAAAAACCAACTCAACTGACGAACTAGGGGACTTGATAACCCCCTAAAAGCAAAGAATCCGGTTTTCTGTAGACGAAAATGACCCTGAAGACCCAAGGTGACCAAGATGGAGTTTGGTGATGATGCCTAAACATTTAATTTTAAAGTTCATGGGTCAAGGGTCATACCGAAATTGCTTCACACAGACACGTTCGCTCATCATTACGATAGATGCCTTAGATCTAAACAAGTCTTCCAATTATTCGATTTATTAGCTTGAAAATGTGAAATATGTCACATATCGAAACTCTATTTTTCTCCAAAATTCCATGTCTTGTGACAACTCTACCATGCCAGGTACACGCATGAGATTGTTCAATTATACTTCAAGTGGCCTTTTTGAATGCTGGATGCGACAATATTTGCGTCATTTCAGCGACTTACTCATTGCACTAAATTACACGTTTTTCTCGTCCAACATACAGTCCTTATGTATTATTATTTTTCAAGGTTGATGGTTTCGATATTAGAACCATCCGAAGTTGCAATTTTGATCCAAAATAAATACGTTGGACATGTAAGGGTAAGGCGTTATGTAAGGGCGAAGATCTCACCCCGGCGAGGAAGCCATCGGTGGGATGAAAGGGGACTCCGAGGGTTGTAGGTGGGGACACGCAAAGAATAGGAGAGAGAGGCTGCTGCCTATAGGAGTGAGAGGGACACTGAGTTTTAGGGCCGCCGAATGAACTTGGGATTTCTTGCCGAAGAATTCGTGGAAGTCTTCCACGGGTCGGCTAGTAATTTTTAAGATGGGAGCGCCGAAGGCTCGAGAATTGCCAAAACCATTAACCAAGAGGTTTGACGGCATGTTTAGGGGTGAGCTTCAAAAACAAATGCCATTATTGCACTATTAAATTCCTTTGGTCATAGAGCGATGAAAGCGCGTCCATAGTGAGTGAGTGAGTTTGCCAGAAGGGCAAACAAACTCGCTGGTAAATTTAATCAATTTTTGGAGTACATAGAAGGCGATACAGAAGGGAGGTATATCTCTAATCTCCCCTGGCGACGTCACAAATACTTTACCCACAAATACACCAGTCAGACGCATTTCACCGTCCTTTGAGCCTTGTCTCTGTTCCGCAAATACATCGTTCAAAATTCTGGAACAGAACAAAGGATTTGAGAGGAAATATCGGAGGGGCCCGAGTCCTATCCAACAGGGGATCAAGAGGCACTGATAAATCCAAGCAAACAATGGAGAGGATGTCAATAAGTAAGGCATGCAGATTCAGGCGACATGTATCAATACATAGAGTAAGCATCCCGGTTTCTGGCCGGTCTCCAGTTGTTGGCCGGTGAGGCTTAAATTCAGCATAATTAGTTAATATGGCCGTTTTCAAGCATTCAATCAGCATATTCGCGTACGAGGACCTATTACTAGTGTTTCCTGGTGTGCGCACAGGGTGTCCACTTCCTATGGGAGTCGTATCTGCGCAGTCAAAAACTGGGTGTTTACCCTATTTGACAATTTCATACAAATTTCGTTCCATGATTGACTGCAGCATCCCTAAATAATGTGAGCGGAGAAATGCTCCTCTTTTTCCCCAATAATCGAAACTGATCGAACGACGTGCCAAACTTGACTCCACACTGAGCTTTCATAACGAAATCGACGGCGTGGACGACCGCGGCCACGGTCAGCTTCCAGACGCCGTCCTGGGAAGAGACAACAGACAACAGCCAGTGCTCCAGAGCGGTTTCGATTCCTTCGCTTTCATTCTCTGTGCCTCTTCCTTTTTCAGTGTCTTGTTTCTTTCGCTTCGATCTTACGCAACCGTTCGTCTTGAACGGCTGCTTCCTTTCCTTCGTTTCTTCCTTCTTTCGTTTTTTAATAATCCATATTGGTCGGAAAAAAGTTATCTAATGTCCATGACAGGTGGGTAAACTTCAGGATTCATACTCCTTGCGATAGTATGCAGGTTCTGACACACCATAGAGCTTGTGCAAAAAGATGAAAACTATACAATTCTCAGTGAGGTAGAGTGTTCTCTGCTTTAAAATGGAAGGAAAGCCTTTATTCTTTTGCATGCATTCGCCATTAAATAAAACCGGCGTTTTCATATATTCTCTAATGCATTCCATGGTGGATCCTGAATGAAATCCTTCCGAATGTCTTTCATTGATTTAAACGAAGTTATGCTTTTGTATCTCACTGCACCAGAAAATGGAAAAGGAACTCTTTTGAGCCTCATGAGTGAGACCCGTAAGCAGTAGCATCATACGAATAGAAACCGAGAAAAAATCAAAGCAGATAAGTTGCATTGTAGAACATTTATTGTATTCATCGTTTTGGAAAAATGGAATCAGTTGGGGTCAGATGGTCACATGTGCCCACTGCCTGCATTGCTGCTGTTCTCAATGTTGATGTTGATGTTGTTGCTGGCCGGTGGTGGGGATAACACTGTAGTAGTCGCTATAATTCTGGAAAATAAATAAATTACTTTCCATAGTTACTCTATTTTAAAGATGAGGTATACTTTAAAGGTCCTTTGCAGCCAAATATGCCTCTTTGAATAGCATAAAAGAAGAACGCCTAATACCCCATTTAGGGATAGAGTTAGAATCGTGTGGGACAGCGTAGGTAAAAAGGCAAAGGCATCTAAATGTCCAAAGCTCTTCGCAACGAAGTACAGCACATGGGATTTTAAAAACGGACCTATCGAAAATTGTTTTCGCGGGTAAAGGTACAAGCAGTTCACTTAACGCTTTTGCTGCGACGTTCGATTATATGCTGCTCTCCAAAAGTCTTGCAGAACTTTTTCCTGATTGAAATTCTCAGCACCCGTAGTATCATCTGCGAAAATTGTTATATCTTCTAACAACATACTGTTACCTTTGTAAAGATCCCATTAATGTCGTGTTTTGTGCCATTGTTTGTCCAAAATTCGCTTCAGAATCCGTCTGGTTTGGTTTTTCAGAGAAAAACAATTAAAATCTGTCCCCAGCCGATTGTTGAAAAGTCTACTTCTCTTCTTCCACGCCATCCAAAATGTCTTTTTTCCATGCATCATAAAGAAGACTTCTTTCAATGTTCTCCTAAACTTTTGCTTGTTTTTTTCACGATACAAATTATCGCTACCTATGGCATCAAAGGCGAAAGAAATTGCTCCATGGAATACTTATTCTCTTAGCTGGGAAAGCGGCCATTACCATTAGGGTTTGAGCTACCATATCCTCAACATTTTTCTTAAAACAATCTATTTCGGAATTTCTCCTTGGCATGACAGAAAAATAACTCTTTCTTTGTTGGGCAATTCCCCGCTATATTGGCATGAATTTTTAAGTTATGAGTAGATCTGCTAATAGCTACTTGAAAACCGAGTGGTAACCGAGTTCGTACCGATGTTTTGCAATATAAAAACAACTGGTAAGAGGTTTGGAGGGCATTGACAGGAGTAATTTCCTTAAGGTGCATAGAGAAGATATGATTTCCGCTTGGCAGGCAAGTGGAGAAGTAGGCTTTCCAACACTCAGGGACGGATTTTAATTTTTCCACGCTGAAAAACCTGAAAAGATGGATTCTGAGGTGAATTTATGACAAACGATGGCACAAAACATGACATGAATGAGCACTTTATGAAGGTTAAAATTACGCTGTCTAAAAATATAAAGTTCTCGCTGGTGATACCTTAGGTGCTGGGAATTCCGCTCATGAAAAAGTGTTGCAAGAGTTTTGGAGAGCAGTACAGTTGGCATGCTCCCCATACCCTTTCACTGCTAAGTTCGGCCCAAGGTTAAACGGAATTGTTCCATCTTGAAATTTAATTTATCATTCTTCAAAATATCCTATTAAGATAAAATTTGAAAATCACAAATGTTGTTCGCCCCTCCAGGTATTAATTCAGTAATCACGTCTGAAAATTAAATATTTTTTTTTACAACACCCTTTAAAGGACCAATGTTAACCTTTTTCCAGGGTGCAAGCACAACATACCTCCTCCTCCTCCTTTTTTTATAGTAGCAGCAGCCAACACAGAGGCAGACCAAGAAGAAGATGCCAACACCCAATCCGGAGGATGCACCGGTTGAAAATCCACCATCGTCAGTGTTGCCTTGCCCTCCCCGGCAGTGTGAGAGCAGCTTCTCCCCTTCATCACGTAGGGAATGCAAGGTGTCGTTGGTGCCCTGGCACTTATAGGTATCATTTTGCCAAAGCTCCAGTTTACCGCTGTTTTCCGCTGCCCACCTGCGAGGATTTCAATCAACAGTCGCCTCCTAACAGTGGGCCTGACAGGGTTTCTTAGATGATTGCATCATTTCTTCATATTAAAATACTATAGTGAATGAATAGTTTCGATGAGAAAAGTTTCACCAAATGGAAAATGGAACACTCGTTTGACATGATCATATTAGACGAGAATTAATATTAAAGATACTGCATATTGAAAATTGAGGGTACATATAGCGACTGAGCACACGTGGGTTATGTCGAGAATACTGACCCGTAGAAATCGTAGATCTGACAGTTGCACTGGAACTTGTTCTCAGAGAGATCCATTTTCTTAACTTTCTTCAAGTCAGTCAGCATGACCTTTGTGACCTCTGACAAGTCATTTTGGCCCAGCCTGAGGATTTCCAGAGAAGCCTTAGCTCCCAGGACGGCCGAGTTCCAGGCTCGGATATTGTTACCTGTCAAGAGCAGATTTTGCAAACTATCCATACCCATCAAAAGATTGTAGGACAGGAGTGTGATGAGGTTCCCGCTTAAATCCAGAGTTTTGAGTCCATTGAGGTCTTTGAAAGGCGACTTGGCACCTTCGAATCTGATCGTGTTGTTGCGAAGGTATAGGGAGTCCAAAGTTTTGAGACCCGCGAAAATCGCGTCGGAACCGATCTCCAGTTTGTTCATAGACAGGTCCATATATTTCAGGGATGTCAAAGTGGAGAAGGCTCCGTTCTCGATCGATTTCAGATTGCAATTACTGAGGTCCAGACGTTGTAAATCTGACAACTTAGGAAACGATCCTTTTGGGATCGTACCGAAGTCGTTTCCAGCCAGGGTGAGATTTGACAACCTGGAGCTGATCTTGGCCACGACGGTCATGTTAAGCCCTTTGTTGTTCCTCATGGTGAATTCATTGAGTTGACCCAGCGGGGCAAAGGTGCCTGCAAAGGAAAGGCAAAGAAGCTTCTTGGAAGAGTCATGACAATTTCTGGGAGCCCATATCATCTTGGATTCTGTGTCAAGGTTCGTGGGCATTCTGATGTATATGATTTATCTAATAACCTAATAATTGAATTGCAATATCGTGTTACAAATAAATGTAGATACACAGGATAATGGAAAGGAGATGAATCACGTTATCTCATGAATGTACAGAAACTAATCAAAGATTCATAGTTGTGAAGAAATTTAAACTTGAAAAGTGTTCAGATTTGAAGAGAATATTCAACCAACGCCTAAAATATTAAAGCAGCAATTTAAGAAAAGGGCTATTTTTATTTTCATGGAAATAGATTCGATGTCTGGAATTCATGAAAGACAATGATCGAAAAAGAGAAAACAGGTATTTCATGTTGCTCTCCATGTCAAGTGAAAACCATTCATATATAGAACGCTCTCTGGACTCACCGTCATAAATTTGCTGCAGCTCGCAGTTATCCAAGTTCAGAACTCTGACCTGACTCTTATTAAGAGGCAGAAATACGTCGTCAGACAGGGACTTAATGGGATTATGATTCAGAGATAAGACTTCCAGTTTCTGCAGAACGGTGAGTCCCCCACAGGGAGAGGAACGAAAAGGGACGTCTTCATTCGCGGTCGTTTGGCATTGGCAGAAGGAATCCATGCTGATTTGTTGGTTCTCCAGGCGGAGCTCGATGAGTTTGTCGAGACCGTTGAACGTACACCATGTGATAGGGGAAGATATGACATTAGCTTGAAGATGAAGAGACGCGAGGTTGGTGAAGAATTGAAACGCTCCATCACCTAGTTCTTCGATTTGGTTCCGCGCGAAGGTCACCGTCTTCAACGTAGTTGAATTCAGTTCTTCCTTCACCAGGCGAGCCAGTTTGGAGTCCTCGACGAAAAGGGTTTCATATCCTTCCAGGGGTGGCAACGACGTTACGTTTCGGCACTCGAGTCTCATCTCCCTCTGGGAGCATTCTGTTTTCTCAGAAGGGGTTGCCGCCTGGACCAAGACTCTTGGGAAGATCTGTCCGAGGAGGACTGTCATCACGGCTGTGATCATGAACTTCATCTCGAACTCTTTGAGCTTCGAGGATCCAAGATTGCTGCCAAGAGGCTTTTTCACGAAGCAGACAAAAACTTCGATGTCAAATCTAACTCTGAATTTAAATCCACACCTTCAGCTCCGTACAAACCTAAGAATAAAATAAAAGAACAGACCCTAATGGGGGTTAAAATTATATCAAGAGATACCGGACAACCGCAGCCTTCCTAACCTCCTAACCCTCCAAACCTCCTCGATTGAATGCATCTGCTGGGACCATATGGAAGAAATTCACATACACCCGCATTGCATGCTCCTTATTCACATCGCTTGAATCATACCTCCCTCAATCATACTAATTGAGACTCTTCTTCAACAGCTGCTGCAAAAAATGCTTCCATGTCATTCCACCTCGAGTTTGTCAAAACTTGAAGTGTTTCATCCTCCAAAATGTTATGCCTCAATCACATTTTGCTGAAGATTGACCATTTGAGGATAAGTAACGAATTGCAATTACAATTTAAACTGGAGCAAAATAAGATGGAGTCTCCGAATCTTATCCCTTGGAGAACAAAGGCCTCCAGCCAACTAACTTCCTGAATTTTCCGGCACGCTTACAAGGCAAACAATTTTCATTTCCAAGGGAAATGCGAAGAAAGAGAAGCCAATAACACCGAAACACAGCAGCTGAAATTTGTGATATTGTCCTCAGTCAGCGAACGAACGGATAGAGGTTACGATTACCTGCCTGCATACCAATGTCGAAATAAGACTTGCAAAAAAATCAGAAATGCGGTATGCTCCTCGCTTGTCAACTTCTCAGAAAGAGCCTCGGCAACCACATTCCTTCCACAAATTCCACAAATCCTTGATCCTTGATACGCGCACTCTCCGCAACCACAAAGCCTTTCACTGATGTCTGCATAAAAGGAGATGTCCATATCACAGTAGATCGGACCAATATTGGTGGAAATTAGTGATCCATAATGGGATGCCCAATTTTGTCCTAAGTTGCCCTTCGTCGGCTCCGATTAGGCCTCATTTCGGACTGCAACTAGTCTGTTTAGCAGGAAATTGGGTTTTCCGCATTCCTCTGAATGATCTTCCAAAAATGAAGCCTAAGACCCGATCCTTCCTCGCCTATGGATGCTAAGGAGATGCTAAGTTTACTTTGGAGAAAAGTCCCTTAGGGAATAAAATACCTTGGACTAAAAGACCAAGAGTCATACCTTCAAGAGCTAAATGGAGGACACAATATTTGATGGAAGGTACGTCCTTTTATTGATAATTTTCCTTCTCTTCCTGTCCCCCTTCCGCCATGAAGCCTATTTTAAGCCAATCGGTTCACTGGTGCGAATCCATATATGATGATCCCGAGATGGCACAAGAAGCCCACAACACAACGGTTCGAGACTACATCTTAGGTGACGCGATGTGGCAAGCTCGCTTCTCACCCGGATTTTTATAGCACCCACCAGCCCTCCAGATAAGGAATTTCATCCGGCAGAGGTTTGCACACTGAGGGAAAAAAGAGAGGCGAGTGGCAACTGACATGGATGAGAGATATGACCTTGCCATTCGCCATTTAAACACTTGGTTTATTTTGCAAGTGTCAGCAATGTTTCACTTTAGCAGGGAGATCCGTAGTTCCCATCTTTATTTTGTCTCCAAATTTGGTCGAGGAGTCCAAATTCTTAGGATGAGGTCGATTGGCCTGTAACGGCTTCATGCCAAATGCTTTGTTTCCTTCGAATTTCAATCCAGATGTTAGCATGTAAGATGGCCAGAGACTATAGGAACAACCTGCATTCTCTTTACGAACTAGTTTAAGTTGCAGACTGAGTACTGGAAAGAAATTTCTAAAGTATTAGCCTTCTTTCTGGCAGTGGCTTTGGTGGTTGACGCTAGGGTTTTACTGATATATAAGCCATGTGATTGTGTGATTGATGTTTTTATCTACTGAAAAACCTAGTTGCATTTGCTAATAGTTCATGCATGAGCTGTCACTTATTTGCAAAGTCTGCTCATAGATTGAGTTTGAGAATGTAAGATGAAATTCATGAAACTATTCTTTAGACAAATTTCTCTGCAATCAGAACTTATTTCCGAAACGTCATGGAAGCATTACTCATCTGTATTTTTTCAAATTGCACAAATCAATCCGGCTTCGCTGCGAAAGTGGCTGAAGAATCGAAGTAGATGAAGTGAAGCCTGAAACTCTGACCGATCCATTGTCTTGCAAGGCCTTGAACCTGGAGTGCAAAATCGTACGAGCATGGCAACTTTAATGAACACTTTTGGAAATATTGGGTTGACCGGAAAGTTCTGGTCGTTTCGAGAATTTTCCAAAAAAAAAAATTTCTGGAATTTTCTGGAACCTTTCACAGTAGCAGTATATAAAGGGTGTGTGGGCGTGATTACGCTGCAGTTGCTTAATCGTTCAAAGCCTATAACCATGACTTCCAAAATGGACTAGAAAAAGACCGCCCAACGTCAGTGCCTTCTTTACGACTTCCTATCTGGCATCACAGCAGCCGAATCGAGTTACAACAACTGCGCCGCGTTTGGCCAAGGTGCAGTTAATGAAAGGACAGCGCGACGATGGTTCGATCGTCTCCGGTCTGGAAATTACAACCTCGAGGATGAGCGCAGGTCAGGCCACCCATCTGAAATCGACGACGAACAGTTGCAGCAAACGGTGTAAGCCGATCCGAGGCAAAGTACCCGCGACTTAGCGACAGCTCTTGGCTGCGTCCAGTCCACAATAGTGACGCACCTGGCCGCAATTGGCAAGAAGAGCTAGTTGGGTCAGTGGGTATCCCACGATCCGACCGACCGCGACCGCGAATGCCGTGCTGAGGTGTGCACTTCGTTGCTGTCTTACAAGCGCACAAACGACTGGTTGGATTTCGTAGTCACTGGAGACGAAAAGTGGATACTGTACGTCAACTACCGACGCAGGCGCCAGTGGGTCGATGCTGATGCCCAGCCAGAGCCGGAACCGAAAGGTGACCTGCACCCCCGGAAAGTCATGTCGTGCATATGGTGGGACGTGCAAGGCGTGATCGACTTCGAGCTGCTCCCACCCGATACCAGCATCACCACCGCCTAGAACTGCGATCGGCTGCAGAAGCTCGCCGACAAACTCCACACGGTGAGGCCAGGGCACCGTCGTGTTCGATTCCTGCGCGAAAACGCAAGGCCGCATGTCGCAAATATCACATGGCAGAAACTGCTGGATCTGGGCTGGGAGGTTCTGCCTCACCCTCCGTATAGCCCAGATCTGGCGCCAACCGACTACCATCTCTACCGCTCTCTGGACAGCCATCTTCGCCAGAAAAGATTCAACGATGACGCCGAGGTCGAAACTGGCTGGTTTTTCCCACTCACAGCCAGTATAGGTTCTACAGGGATGGAATCAGGAGTTTGCCCGATCGTTGGTAGGTGATTGACTGCGATGGCGATTACTTCGTTGAATGAACTTTTCTGTGCTTATTTAAAAAAAACTCGATGGTATGGAATGTTCTCGAAACGGCCAGAACTTTCCGATCGACCCAATACCTTCCTGAAAATCACGGCTTCAACAATTCATCATTAGAACTGACCAGAAGTCTGTTAGCTAAATTTAGTACAATGTGGCAAGCATTCGACCGTCAACATCCCATCGACATCGTGAACCAATCGTTTTCCAGACTGGGGATGCATCGTTGCTCAAGCGTACGCACATGCATGGACATAGGATACGGAGTTTCCTCCTCTGTTCAGATGGGGCAATATTTTTTACCTTGAATAAACAGCTGTCCAAATACGATATCGTTATCGCTTGCCTCTTACTTTCCCTACAAAGTTTCACACGCTCTCCATCCCAATTTCCGATGGGATTTCTTGTTCCCACTTCTGAAAGAGGCTTTCGTCTTAATCCTCATTGATAACAGTCGATGATTAATGAACAGTCATTGATAACCTAGCATCCGAAGATAACATTTCAGCATGATTGAAGACAGGAAGATTTTCATACGAAAAGGGTCACACTCGGCATCGGAATAGCATGGCAAATGGCGGGGAGAGTAATGATGTCTTTTATCCCTTCACGACTTCGCGCCAGACCCGACGTACCTCTCGTTCATCCGGAACTGGCATTCACGTCTCCTGCCTTCCACATATGATCAGCAGGGTATTTGCCCATATTCCGACCCTGCTTGTGCCCAGAAATTTCCGACTCACGAACCCCCGCTGGGTTGGATTCGAAGGAACCCAGGATATAATGGTTTTTGGCAATACTGGCTTTATTAAGTAGGTTTTTAATGCAAACATTTTGCATACCGTCCCCTGAACTTTCGCTTGTGATGAACAATATCAACATCAATTGGATATATTGCTGCACGAGAAGTGGAATTACACATTGTATTGATAAGGCATCTTCTCAATGCAATGTTTAAATTCGTTTGAGGGTGACCATGAACCATTTATCAATGACAATATGGAGAGACGCTCACGACAGTAAAGACAGTACCTGCAAAGTACGTCAATGAGCATGCGAATATCCCCTGTATAGGGTAATTCAAAAAAGAAGGTAACACTTTCACATTTTCATAATGAAGTAACCAGTGAGCCTACAATGACGTGATATGTATCAATTGTTAGGAAGACTCTCAATGTCTGTTGGTAATTGACGCGGGAAGGTGTTTCGCGCTTGGGCCGCCAGGGAAGACCGTGTTGCAGAAATGGCGATTATTGGTGGTCAAATAGTGATCACGAAAGTCTGCGATCACTGGAGTGATTCATACATCCCTAGTAGCACCTACCATTAGATTAACATATATTACGCATTTAATCAATATCCGGACGTCGAATCGGCATTTAAACGATGTCGATTCAATATTATGTGCTATTGGGGATCGACATGAAAATTCACACAGGAGTCAAATCCTACTTAACTATCCAATTTATTTACCCGATGGAGACCAAAAAAAAAACTCTGAGCAAAATATATTTGTGGGTACGATTTCAATTTCTGGGAAATTCTA